CATGATGCAACTAATGATATTATCACACTATCTTTGATGGATTTTTTATCACACTATTTTTTCATTTTTCTAATGATATTAATTCAAAAGGTTCCTTTGGAGAGTTCCCCTGCAAAGATAAAGATAATTATTTGTGATGTTTTCTTGCTTATCTTTATCTAATAGTCCCCTGCAACTAATTGCTTATCTTTATCTAATAGTCCCCTGCAACTAATTGCTTATCTTTATCTAATAGTCCCCTGCAACTAATTGCTTATCTTTATCTAATAGTCCCCTGCAACTAATTGCTTATCTTTATCTAATAGTCCCCTGCAACTAATTGCTTATCTTTATCTAATAGTCCCCTGCAACTAATTGCTTATCTTTATCTAATAGTCCCCTGCAACTAATTGCTTATCTTTATCTAATAGTCCCCTGCAACTAATTGCTTATCTTTATCTAATAGTCCCCTGCAACTAATTGCTTATCTTTATCTAATAGTCCCCTGCAACTAATTGCTTATCTTTATCTAATAGTCCCCTGCAACTAATTGCTTATCTTTATCTAATAGTCCCCTGCAACTAATTGCTTATCTTTATCTAATAGTCCCCTGCAACTAATTGCTTATCTTTATCTAATAGTCCCCTGCAACTAATTGCTTATCTTTATCTAATAGTCCCCTGCAACTAATTGCTTATCTTTATCTAATAGTCCCCTGCAACTAATTGCTTATCTTTATCTAATAGTCCCCTGCAACTAATTGCTTATCTTTATCTAATAGTCCCCTGCAACTAATTGCTTATCTTTATCTAATAGTCCCCTGCAACTAATTGCTTATCTTTATCTAATAGTCCCCTGCAACTAATTGCTTATCTTTATCTAATAGTCCCCTGCAACTAATTGCTTATCTTTATCTAATAGTCCCCTGCAACTAATTGCTTATCTTTATCTAATAGTCCCCTGCAACTAATTGCTTATCTTTATCTAATAGTCCCCTGCAACTAATTGCTTATCTTTATCTAATAGTCCCCTGCAACTAATTGCTTATCTTTATCTAATAGTCCCCTGCAACTAATTGCTTATCTTTATCTAATAGTCTACAACTCCACCAGTATAAATAAACAAAAAATAAAATAACAAACAATGTGCTATTCCATTACCCTGCAAGCTTCCTGGCAAGGTGCAAGAAAGGTTTTTCAAAGTTATAGTTACTCTTAGCAGAGATTTCATAGTTACTGCACATTGCCCATGAATGCTGTAAATAGAAACGGAAAATTCCAGAGCAAATTAGAATTGATAATAAAGGTGGCCTCAAATGCCAATTACCACAAAACTGACCTTGATAAAATTCAGAATATTGCAATGGATCTAAATTCTATAGAATAATAATATTAGAGAAATTATATTCACTCTCCCCCATTAGCCTCTCACACTCCCGTTGTGAAAGGCTAAAAGAAAAGTGTGAAAATCATTTCACAAATATTATCTAAAGAAAAAATAATAAATTTTACAAATTACAAGTATTTCCAAGTAAATCAACCCATAGAAAATGATACAGCTCCATTTCTTTTACCAAATTGAAAATCAAAATATAATACAATACACCACAAAAGATCTTCCAAAAGTTATCAGCAAATGCAAATCCTTACAACTAAACATGGAAATATTCTTCTAAATCAAACTATATAGGAAAGCAAGTTATAAATCTTTTTTTGGGTGAATAAAAGTTATCTCTTGTTCTCACTTTCTTCCAGCCACTGTCTCATCACCATGGAAACTATAGTCCATTCTTCAGTTAAATTCATAATAGCCTCCAAAGATGGATACACCCAAAAAGATTAGCATAGCTTCTATTAAACTAATAAACTAATGACCATTTGAATTTCAAATTTTGCAACATCATATCAAAATATCAAGTAAAATCCATAAGAACAACACTTTACCAAGCATGACCAACATAAAGTTCCTATGGTTACAGTGCCATTATGCTGTAGTATTCCTATCAAAATGTCAAACAATATTATCATATATATCAACTGATGTATCAAGACGTCAGCCTATTTCGACATGTTGATATCAGTAGTACAATGTTGGCCAACTTTGTCGCAAAATGCTTGAAACTGCTGGTAAAACTTTCCACCAAGAATAATAATCCAACACCAGCATTACCAAATTACTCATTAGATCATACAAAATATTTCTTGTTACCAACAAAATTTGCAAACTAAAGCAACTCCAGCTTTTCTATTCATGTTGATTGGAACATTAGAGTAAGGTATTCTAAATATGAAATTTACTCACTGTGCCTAAAAAAAATTATCCAACGGCAGCATAACCAATGTCACCAAGTAACTATTCATGTAAAAATATAATTAAAATGTGTATATACGTAATATGCACTCCCATTTACTCAATCAAAGAAAGTATCAGTTCCTTATTGAAGTTTTAATCATGTTATAAATCAATCCCACTCCCCCTCTTCCCTACAGCTGGTTCAAACCCATAACTACTCCTACCAAACAGCAGCATAATTGCAGAGTTTAATTGTCTCAACAAAATCACATGTCAGCATTCAAATATTTTATTGTGATGTTGAAAACAACTGCATGAAAGCTATAACAGTCAACATATCTTACCATCAAGCAATTGGATCCAACAACATCATGTTAATTCTCCTGGTTAAATGAATTTTGAAAAAGACCCGTGCACATATCCATAAGCAACAGTTAAGTGAAACAGAAAACTGTCTAGATTTGGAAATAGTAACTACTGATGTGCAAGCACTTACTAGTAACCATCTCTAAGACCACCGAATTTCTCTTGCCCAGCGGTATCCCAGCAATAAAATCGGATTTTCCCACAGTTTGTGAAGAAGTCCAAAGGGTGAACTTCGACACCAATGGTTGCTGTTTAAAACAAAAACAATAATTATCAAATAAACATGCATGCATGGTACTGAAAATAATCTGAACTTAGTTAAAGAAGAAATTATCATGTCACTGTAATTCTTCTCCTCCACATACAAAAAAAATACAATCAAGTAGAAGATATTAAATTAAAAATCAAACCCAAGAAAGATCAGGTTTTTACTGATACACTTACGTTCGTACTTCTTCTCAAATTCACCAGTGAGATGCCTCTTCACAAAAGTTGTTTTCCCTGCATCATTCAAACATATTAAGCAACAAGAACCAAAATTCATCAAGCAACCTACTGTTCAACTTCGTGCAAGTGAAATAGTTCAAATCAAACCTTTCTTTGAAAAACTAAGGATGTGCTTGGCTTCAATATAGAAAACTGTTCTCTATAGTGTTCTTCCTAACAGGAAAAAAAATAAGCAACACAAACAGAACTCATTTGGCAAACTGTTTTCAGGATTTTTCTTTTCTTTTCTTTTCTTTTCTTTTCTGAAGCACCCATTTTTAGGAAACAATAGTATATTGCTTTCCAAATTCTCAAAAAATGGCCTTTCTTTGAAAAACTAAGGATGTGCTTGGCTTCAATATAGAAAACTGTTTTCTATAGTGTTCTTCCTAACAGGAAAAAAAATAAGCAACACAAACAGAACTCATTTGGCAAACTGTTTTCAGGATTTTTCTTTTCTTTTCTTTTCTTTTCTGAAACACCCATTTTTAGGAAACAATAGTATATTGCTTTCCAAATTCTCAAAAAATGGATTCATAAAAACTAAAAAAACATATGAAAACAAGGATATGCTTGAAATTCTCATTCTCTTATTTTTTGAAAACATGAATAACAAAAATGACAAATGGAAACAAAAACAGTGAAAACGAAACCAAACAATCCCTAAACATACTTTTGGGTTCACTTCAGCTCTGAGGGGAAAAAATGAGCTAAAGAATCACAATACGCTCATCTTTCCTCAGTGCCAAACAATTCTTATATCCTCAAGCTTGACAGACATTTAAAGAAACAAATTTTTCGACATTACAGAACCAAAAAAAAAAATTAAATTAATCAAAAAAAATTTAAAAAAGTAAAAATAAATACCAGTTCCTCCATCACCAACAATGACAAGCTTGAAGCTCGGGTAATCAACAGTCTGTTGGTTCGGCAAAGCCTGCAAGCACGAAAAACTACAAAATCAGCGGCTCAAATATAAACCCACAACTCCATTCTTAATAAAAGTCTTCAAATGATTTTTAAAATTTTTTTTTTGAAAGTGTAATTTTTTACATGAAAATGAACAGATCGTGATCCGTTGAGAGCAGGAATTGTAAGTTGAAAACCCTAGAGTCTAACTAAACCTAAATCAAACAATGACGAAATCGAAGAGATCGGAGAGGAGAATAGAATAGAAAGAAGAAAGCTTTACCATTGGATTTGAATATTCTGATACAGTAGCTTGGTGTGTTGGAGAGAGAGAGAGAGAGAGAGGAGAGGCGGTGAGGTGTTGAGCGACAGTTTATATAGAGAAGGGTGGCCGACTCTCTTTGTCCGTCAGATTCTTTGTGGGCGCCTGCCTGTTTTATTTCAAGTATAGTAATTTTTTTAATTTATTATTTTTTTTTTCAAAAATAATAATTTATTTTTAAAAAATAATTTGTTCAAAAAAAAATTATTTTTATTTTTATGACAAACTAATTTTAATTTTTCTCAAAAAAATCGAAAATAAATTTTCAAAACACAAATTTGTATTTTTTTTGTCATTTTATATACAGATATGCCAGACTCAAAAAAATTATATATAATATTTATATAGGTGTGAGTCTAGACTCATATAACTATTGTATAAAATTTTTAAGATGTTTTTCAAAAATTTCTAATATTGCTCTTTTATATAATATAAACAATGAGAAGTACTGAAAATAAAAATAAAATTACTAATAATTTTTAAATCAAAACAATTAAAATTACTAAGTAGAAAGAAAAATATTGAATTGCCAATTAAACCAATCAAAATAGATTTAAAAAATGAAAAATTACCCAAAAATCTCATTTGGGAAAATGTTACTCCATTTAATCGTAGAAGTTTTCTTTCAAACCAATTAGTCCTTTTTATTTATGGAATATTATGGAGTTTACTTGTTTATCGTTAAGTGTGATTTTGGTTGTGATTTTTTCCTAATGTTTGGGTGAGTTGGTTATGGTATGGTGTTAATTTTTCAAAATTTTGTGAAGAATTGCATAGAGTGATTTGTGGGGTTAGTGATGTTTAGCCATTTTGATGTGGGGGGCTGATTTGGAATCGTGATGTTGTTGTTGGTTGTTTTTTTTTTTGTTTTTTTATTTTTTGACTGATATTTGGATGAGTTTATTAAGGTATGATGTAATGTGTCTAAATTTTATTGTTCGGGTTGCGTAAAATGATTTTTGGGGTTGATATTATTGCTTTCATACCACACTACATGTAGAATACTTCCCAATGTGGATGTGAATGTAATCATACACAGCCAAACATGAACGTAGTATACACTTCAGATTAATAGTAAATGGACAATAAAAAAAAAACACCAACACATTAACACTATCACCCACACACGACCCACTAAATACATGAACATATGTAGTGTAAATGTTATTGCAAAACCTACTAACAATAGTGATAGAAATCCTCACAAAACACAACCCCCAAAATGATCTGAACCATTCATGTTACTATCAGACACAACTTCCAAAAAAAATTCAAACACATCAATGGCTAATACATTAGTGGGGATCATGGGAGTCCTCTTTTGTGGGGGGTCCCAAACATTTTCCAACCCACTAAATACATGAACACTAATTCCATTTTGTGGTGTCATGTGTTTAGTGGGTCATGAGTGTTCCTTATGTGGTACGATGTTACTTTCAACTTTTACTAATAGCTACATTGAGCAAATGTTGTTACAAAATATTTTCATAAATCAAACATTATACGATTGTAATCATATTGCATGGATATCATACATTGTAACAGCGTGACACCTACCAACTGTACAACATATATACGCTACTTTCAAACGTTCAACTCAACTAACTATACTAATATTCTACAAGCCTAAGGTAAATAATTTCGTCACCCATCCAACGATTGTTGCCTACACGTCACATGACCCATACGACATTGCAATTACACGTACGCAACTTCGGCAACATCAAAATATGCCACTATCACCCCCTCCCCATGCACCCCACTTTCATACCACAGTCACATTCAAAACACACATACAAAATGGAAATGCAAATGACAATATTAACAACATAATTACGTTAGCGGTCGTACCGACCAAATTAGAATATGTAGACGTCCCCAAACGTCTCGGGAAAAATCTTGTTTTGTTCATTTGGGCTTACTACAGTTCAGACTCAAATGTCACGGTTCTTAATATGATCTCGCAAAGTGCAATGCAAGACTGATAAATCACTAAAGAGTCCAAATCCGGCAAATCGTTTTAGAAAACTGATTTTTAAGAAATAAGTGCCAAACATGGACTGTTTTGCCAGATACAGAGTCGCCATCTAAATATTTTATTTTTGGAAAAATTTAGGAAACCTTAACTCATTGCCTAAGGCCACGTGTTCGTCATCACCAAAGTTGCCTCAGCTCGGGAACTTGGGTACGATTGGGAAGGTTAGCTATGAGCACCCCCGCTCGCTCGATCAAAAATCGGCCACTACTAAACATGATATCTCGTTTTTTAAAGCACATGCGTTCTTATTCCGGTTAATTAGCTAGAATTACTAGGTGATGCGCACAACACACAAGTATAGACTAGATCGCCTAATTTGGGACAAAGCATTGCATATCCGTTTATTTGGAAGGCTGTTTGAAGTTTGCTACTCGCAAGTAGGCTAAACCACGGATTTCAATGAATTATCCCAATTCAAGCAACCCAACCTTCACCCAAAGGCATTCAAGCAGTTATATCACATAAGCAATTAGCCTCATGGCAAGCATGTTGTCGTGTTAACACTTACACACATGCAAGATGCTAAAGCATAAACACTCACAGTTTACTCCGAGGCAAAACAAGAAACTAGTTAGAAATCATGCATGATCCTAGTTCATGTTAAGATGGCTAATGCAACACATGCAAAATGCAACTAGAATAGGCTCGGCTAACCTAAGAATGGCATGTGAAATGTGACAACTCGATACACGTATTCAAGTTGGAATTGAAATACTATGCAATTAGTATGATGCGCCGAGCCCAATGCGTGCAATACGAATGAATGTATGCAAACATGCTAATATAAGTATGCTAATTGAAACGTGACCTAAAACTAACCATTGAAAGCATGTAAGTAAAAGGGAGAAAGACGTGGGGTTGGAAGACATTCACACACGCACGCACACTTATTACAAAATTCGCCTTCTCGACGGAGGGTCCAAATAAATAATATAAATAATACAAACCAAATGATTAATCAACTATCCTAGCTAATTAATTATTACAAACCCTTAATTAATTAACAAATTAATTACAAAAAGAGGCCGTCGCAACTCCACCTCGGAATGATTGAACGATGCATGCTTGATCGCCTCGCTTGAAAACCCGTTGCCATGCCACATGTTGCCTCTGTTTGCACTATTTTGTTCCTCTGAAAACTGCACAAGTCCCAAGGATGCTTCTGAACCACTCCCTAAGCACTGTAAGATGTCACCGGCCAAGAGATAGGACCACCGGCCATTGGAAAATGGTTATTGACCATTTGTAAGGCTCTCGGCCAGATTTTGGTAGCCGGCCGGCACTGAAGATGGCCGACCGGCCATATCTTCCTGCAGAATTATGTTTTTGCTGCAGCAGAGGACAGACAGTGCATGGTAAGGTGTTTACAAGATAATGTGTGTACAACCACCATTCCTATTATGCTATAAACTCAAGGGAGTATGACTCTCGACCCTCGAACCACCGATCACGTATTTTAATGCATGATGGCCAAAGGTGCCAAGTGTGCAAATCAATGTAGAATGAATACAACAAAACATATGAATGCCTAGAACTCTATCATGCTTGATCAAGAACGTCAGCAACAGAGGGTTGAGGAACGTTTCGTCACTTCAAGTACGAAACGTCCCTTGGCCCTCATGTTTGGTTTGACACCCCAAACCAAACACAATACAATGCATGCAACCAAGCACAATGCAACATGAGAATGTAAGGCAATGTAACATGAGCATGCCAAGTGCAATGTGATGCAACCTAACGTGCAAACAACATGGCAATGCAACAAGTATGCAATACTACAATGCAACCTAGATATGAAAATACACGAAGTGATAGGCATGCAACAATGACACCAAACATAAGGATGCAGCAACATGCAATGCGGTAAGCATACAACAATACACAAATGCATGATCTATGGACTTACACTAAAGATGGATAGACCTCAGTCGCACCAAAAACAGTAGCCAAAACACCCAAATCAAGGTACCAAAAAGGGAGTCATGCATGTACATACATGAATCCGTAAGCTAGGCAACGATGCACAATCCTCAACCATGAGCAAAATGGGATAAAAATGAGAACATGACAATGCAATGAGCTCTGAAATCATGTGAAGAATGATACCAAATCATATACATAAGTGAAGCATAGCATGCTAATGGGCTCAATGCCCAAAGCTAGTCAAGGGGCTCTCACCATGGCCATATCAACCAAGCCCCAAAGGGCCAAAGTGACCTAAGACAATCCTAGGGCAAGCCAAAACAAGGCTAGAACATGCATGGAATGAGGCCAAAACATGCTAAAAAGATGGGCACAAACAAGGGGCATGCAAGGCTACAAATAGAGCATTACACTACATCTATCATAACCAAACATGGCATAATTATGCAATGAAAAACAAAGTTATAATATGTCAAAATAAGCCCAAAAACCCAATGAGATGGCATCCCAAAGACCTAATCATGGAGACATATGCAATGACCCAATCTTAAGGCACAAAACAACAACTCTTCAAAGCATTGAAAAGATGGTAAACATAAGTGTGTGGCTACACTGCATGGACTGAAATGTGATTTAAATGATGCCAAATCATGAGAATAGTCAAAAAAATGCATGCTAGCAACTTGATGCGCAAAGCTTAACAGGTTAGGATGAACTAAGGCTATACAAAGCAATGCATATATGATCAAATCAACACCAAACAGAGCTTAAACATGGTGAAACATGACTAAAAGTTCCTTGGAGTTGAGCCGAAATATGCAAGCATGATGGTCCAAATGCAAGATACATGTTAAGGCAATAGAAGAGATTACAAGGCAAGTACATGGTGCATGCAAGAGACCAACAAACCAACTTAAAACAGAGGTATATCATGCCAAGATAACACCAAATACTTGCTGAAATAGGGCCAAAACATGCTAAGCAAACATGTTACTATGGTGAGCCAACAATGCAAGCAAATAAGACACAAAGGGAGGGGGGTGTCCCTCCCCTATTCAAGACTTCAAAACCACTTCTTCACCACTGAAAATCCTCTGGATTTCAGTGGTGAGA